AGTTAGGCAAAACGTTCTACTTATTTCGCTTACAAGTAATAATGCAGCAGTAGATAAAATATCAAGCCAAACAACACTTCATTAATTACTTTCAATAATAAGATGAATGGGCGATTTTTTAGTTCAGTTTGAAAATTTCATCAAGAGTCAAGGTTTAAGTTCGGTAACTTTTTTAATCAACACGGTACGGATGTCTGATTTCAGATTGTCGGTTTACGGACATTTGTCCCGCAGTAGATTCAATGGTCGATAGTCAAAGAGACAGGCATATCGTTGTGCACACTTCACTCGACTTAATACCGTGGATGTTTGCGGTATGGCTAGCCCGAATGTCCGTTACGCATGGAGTGTCTTCGGTTTCTTGGTAATCTAAGAAATCGGTTTGGTCCGATGGACTTAATCGTTCCATAACAACTCATCCATCGACGCTTTCAACGTTCTAATTTGTAAACACATAAATCACTACGCCTTCTCATATGCACTTGTGTGATCCGGAGCCTTCGATCAATTATCATCAATGGTTTCTACTGTTGCTGCCAATTCAGTGCTTGAGCACATCACGCGACGGTTTGCGGGAACAGTATTATATCATATTCGGTGCGAATTGATTTATATGATATATTCGGGCTTCCTAAAATTCGGATTCTCAGAAAGCGGAGGCCACTCCGAAAACCTCATCCAACTGCGCGACCCACATATCGGCCAACACCACCGGTTGCCGGGAAACACAAGAAACTTAGCTGCGAGCTCTCTTTCTCTGTTTATCCGTGTCCAGTCACGCAAAAGCGCAATAAATATCACCGAAGATCAATGCGCCCGTCATTGCCAAAAGTTCGCCAAATAGAAAACAAAAGAAATGATGCGCCAGATCACTTTGAAAACAGGTCCTCAAGGACGGTATTCCATCTCATACGTGATGTGAAACGATGAGAAATTTTTGTGGTCCTGTCCTGAACCTAAAAAGATGCCTAAATCCATCATGCCCACTGAAGAGACATATGATAGTGCAGTCACTCTGTGAACCAGTAGGGCACTACAGGTTCGTACTAACGACGGTACATTCATGCGTCGTGTTGATTGGTGGAGAATGATGATGCGCACATTGATAACTGCAGGTCAGATTAACAGTAACAGTTTAGTGCGAACGCGCGGAACACAGGTGCAAAGTCGAGCACCAGAAGGATTTATTCTAGGGCGGTACACGCCGCCTGATCGCTAATCGCAAAACAACGGTCACGTCGATTTACCCGTGATTAGATACAAACAAAAAACATAACGGCTAGTTCCAAAAGGTCTCCAGACCAAACGTTTCTTAGGAGAACACGCCAAAACATATATTGCGGTGATGCACATGTGACCGCGTCAAAGGTGATAGGAAATACTTCTACGGACTACAGCGCTCTCATTCATATACGGGGTGGTTCTCCAAAAAAGGGAACGACGTATTAGATGCGCACTGGTGAGGCCTCCACGCATGATGAAAACACGTTTGCAAGTTAATTGAGCAGATCAATCTGATGAACAACCCATGTTAGATGTGCACATCAAAGTCGAGAAACCGGGTGTCCAATCGCTCACCGCTCGGAAGATCACTGCTTCCAGCTGCTTTGGTGACGTATATTTCAATCTTTCAATGTCCTTCCCCTGTAGAACTAACCGCGGCATTTTTAATGCGGTAGAGGGCATGGCAAAATCTGCTAGGCCCCGGGTGTTTTTCAACAATCCCGAATACTAGCAGATGCGTTAATCTAACGCATGAACTGAGATTAATCAATGAGATATGGCATCAAGATCCCATAGAAGGCCAACAAATAAGCTCGTAATTATTCACTAGGCTATTTCGGGATATAAAACCTGAAGGATAAACGCCTCTTGACTTAAAAATTAAATTGGCATCTATTTGGCATATAGGTACTTGAAATGGTCTGCATTGCCACTCATGGAACAAGTCCAAAACGGCTAACAAAATGCTTTTTTCTTCAATCAGGCTTTCGTCAAAGCCAGTGTGTTCTGAAAAAACTCAAAAGCGCTGAATATCTGCTTCATTCTTCTTGAGAATCATTGGCAATGAGCTACTCAAGGGAACACGAGGGAGTCGAGAACCAGCTACTTCAAGATCAGCAGTTTGAATGCTTGACCATTCGAACATGAGCAGCTGAACAGCAGAATGTAGTGTCATTCATCCTCCAATCACAGTGATCAAGTCACGTGGCAACGTGCCGTCTCATTCCTTGCGTGATTTCTAGCGAAAATCATTCTACCTCAGAGCCACTGATATAATGTGATATATATTTTGATGAGATTAGAAGATATTCAAATGAGATTCCCCCCTGTAAGTCAAGCGAATCCATGCTGAAAAGTAGAAAGCACTGCACAGCTATTTCATCCTCAATGGGAGTCATAGGCATCTCAATAAATTCCTGACAGTCTCGACCCCACGACTTTCTTGCTAGTATTCCGAAGACTTAACAGCTCTGCTTTTCAGTGTCGATTGGCCTCACTTACAGGGCAAAGTGTACACTGCAATATTGAAAACCAGCGAGCAATTATGGCTGGAGCAACTGCTCAGGAGGTTCTCCTACTACTCTTACTTAAACTCAATAGCAATCAACATTTTTCTCTGCTTGCACAGCGTTGACCTTCAGTAGATCGTAAACACCGTCGTTATTCCGTCTGAAATTCACCTTACTGCAAGTGACACAAAACAACACCGTTACTAGCGCTGAGTCTTAGAATACGCGCTAACATTACACTTGATCAGGTGTTTCTATAATAAATTTATTAAAGGGCGAGCCGTTGTTGGGCACACCCATTGAAGAATAGCGATAATGACGTAGTTTTTGAAAAGACGGGATGGTTCGATGGTTGCAGTGAGGCAAGTAGAGACGAACCGTTTGTGAAGTCATTTAAGCTTTAAGCTAAGCTACGGGGGTGGATGACGGCACGATCTTTTTCATAACTTGGTCGGTTCTATTCCCACCAGTCAGTCTACATCTAACAACTTGAAAATAATTCACCATAGGATATAATGGGAGATAAACAAGTGTTGGCAGGATCGAACAGATTGTCTCAACCATTGAATGCAGACAATGAAACTGATTCAACAGTGTCTACATGAAAGCGAAACTGCCGCAACCGTCTTAGGGTTTAGCATCAGAAGACAGCTTCATCACCAACCACTAACAACAACATCTTTATCACCATTCCTGCCATAAACGGAAGACAGGAGAAACAGCTCATTGTTTGGTACGATTTCCACATCCAAATGCACTCTAAAAAATGATATCCTTCAGAATGTTATTCATTCCATAAGCATATTGTGGAGTTCGCACCAACCTATTAGAAGAAATACCTCCATGGAGCTTGCGCCTGTGATAGAATAGTGTGAATTGTCTATCTTATCTGCTGTAACGCCGTACGGTGTGAGAAACTGTTGACAGCCGAATGTGGCACATTTTGAGACTTGGTCGGTGGTTTGAAATATTCTCCATCCCATAACATTGATTTTAGCCATTCGTTAATTGATGTGCTAGTAGATATTAGATACTTGGATGCAGGAAAGGCTTAACCAACGTTCGGAGGAATAGAAGCAAGAAAGTCGTTCAGATATATCACCCCTTCGGTGCCTAGCCGCCATGCGACCAGAAGCCCGGGGCTGGGATACTGACAGGTTGCTCTAGCCTAGACTGGGGAAATCGAGAATCTGTGGTCGGGTTCCAACCACAAACCCTCCGGAAAGTAAATTCGCGCTCAACCCCCTTGCGAAGGGTTCGGCCGTCCTAAGGTGGTCTTCTGCTTGGCTGGAAAAGGGTAAGCAGTCATTTAGCTCAGTATAAATGAGGCATTTCTTGTTGTTCCACCCACCATATCTAACGAACCAGTGTGCGACTAACTCAAGCTCCCTAAGACTTGTCCGCTCTGTGTGCGCCGGGTTTCTAAACGTGTATTTTCACGAAGACAAAACTACCATTCTCATATTGCCACTATGTAATAATCGACGCAAAGCGATTCGGTACATCAACGCCTCACAAATATCTAACCCTCGGCTTACGGTGGTTCGACACTGCGTTTTCGCCAATATTCTGAAATTATATTGGCGGCTGGTGAGCACGTCTTCCTTGGTCATCAAAACCAGAGTTTTTCTGTAATGGGCGTCCCACTGGAAGGCCTTGAGATGGATCCTGAATCCATCTGGGTGATAGTGTTCAATGTGAAATAGACGGGTGCAATCTAATGAGATCACATTTCATAGATTCATCATCAATTGTCAGATCTCCAGGAGGGCACTGATTCGGTCAACTTCAACCATTCTATACGCTGGAAATGAGTGCGTTATAAATGCATTTGGCCGCTGCAGGAAATGATGCATTTCCATGGCTATACGGATGATGTTTTTGGTGGTACCATTGCGTTCGGCAGTTGTGAAATTTAAGGAGCTATATTCAGGACCGTCCATTGACCAACATTATCCCCTAGCTGGGCTGTCTATGTTATTTCTCTCAATATTAATGTTGATTCTGTTCAAGCTTCCCACAACTAGTGTGAGCAGTACCAGAGCTACTGATATTTTAGCCGGTTCATTGTGGATGAACATGGGGACACATACAGTCAGAATAGTTTCTTACATTGAAAACGTTTTACATGCGAGACATCATTCTACAGTCTTGGCCCATAATGACAAATGGCACAGGAATGCTAACAGAAGCGTTCGAGTGTAGGCCAAACCACATTAATGCTGGATATTTTTGAGTAACTAGGTTGACTTGACAAGGATATAACCGCTTGCGAAGACTTGTTTCATCCAGCTTCTAAACAATTACGCTGTCCAGCCGGGATATTCTTGAAGTTCATTACGTCACTCGTCCTCCTGTCTTCCAAGGACCCATCGAAGTTCAACTATGTTTTATTCGCTTAGTTCTTATCAATCAGACTTAATTTAATTTGATTTCGATAGTCATTTTCCAAGATTCAGAAGATTCAGTCGGAACTGTTGCATCGCTAAAAAATGTATCTTAAACATTGAGTAGAAATTCACAATCTAGGAATGCTGAGACAAAAGGAAAGCTTAAAATGACTTATCAGGTCAGTTCACAAAACTATTCGGTTAGATGAATTGCACAAGGTGATTTCGTTTGCAAAAACACAAGAACGTACCGCACGAAAATCGTCAGGCCAAAGGCTACGGGGCATGATATGGACAAGCAAAAGTATTTGCTATGACACTGAAAGTTAGATAGAGTGTTTGGTTTTGGAAAATGAATTGGTTGAAGCAGTATGCATAACACGCACTATGAAGAAGGGGATGATGGCTCGATATTTCATTGATAAAGTGTCAAAGTATTACATATACTGTGTGGCTCTTCAACTTGTACTCATAAACAACAACGGTTTTGAGATATTGTTACGTGTATTGGGTAGTCACATCAAAAACCCTTGTTTGTGGCGGTCGCATCTTCTTCAGTGGAGAAGGTGGACAGACGAGCGAGCGCCGAAAAGCTGTTGAGACTAGCTTCGCCGAGGATATTGATCAGCTCTGACCGATATTGCCCGGCCTCGCGGAGCATCACGTTCAAACATGGACCCATCAGACGCTCGAAACTCCGCACATCTAGAGCTGAAAATTTAATTGTAAATTTTATTGATACCGGTAGGATTAATACTCACACGACCACTTAGCTAATGCTAACAAATCGTGTACCGCTCACACGCTCATCCAAATGTGAGTGAATACCTTCAGGTATCAACGTTCTATAAGAATCAAATACGTCAGTCAATAATCTAACCATATTTCTAAGTAGGTACCCCTTCGCTACAGGATAGAGCAATTTAGGTTAAGCCTTGGAAGAGAGTGTTGAATAATTCTGGTCAGATGTTATAAGCCAAGGAACTTTCAGCTTCGGTCAAGTCTTCTTCAAGCATAAATATCACGATCGATGAGGAGGTTATCAAAACCATTGCAAAAGAATACAATTGTACTAAAGATTTCACTGTTGACGTCTTATCAGGTGTCGTACCCAAACAGCATCAAGTAGTTTGGTACGTAAATAAAGCTTGAGAACAGGATCCTCACTTGGACTTTGGTGATTACAACATATATTTACTCAGATTATGGAACTCCAGCACCAAAAGCAGGAAAATTCGTAGACTGTCCTCAAATCCTCATTGCCAAAATGTGAGGTCCAAAATTAAACGAAAACATTATTCCGGAAAATCAGTTTCTGGGATGAGTTTGAGGAATTCACTCAAGAACATCCAGCAATATTTACATTAAATCTCATAAGAATAATAAATCACCAGAAGTCCCAACTATCGGAGAGATTAGTTGCCCAGTGAAGGGATATTTGCGGCATTACTAGCCATTCGAATAGGATTTAGTTGGCCATGGGTTTGCCCATTGACCTGGGTGATTCCCAAACGGCACAGTTAGCATGTCAACGACCATCTACTCTACATGACCTACCAACAGTATGGGATTTAGTTCTTGGATATCGTAAAAAGGATGTTTTTTTCCCCAACACATTCAAGTGCGCTGAGCTCTGAAGAGAGCCCGCCATGGAAAATAGAGATGTCTAGCCTCCGTTTGGGCATGATTCCCTCTGGTGAACTGGTTATTGCTAATGATTAAAACCACTGCGGGATATTCATAAAAGCTGAATCTTCGAAATGTAAGCGGAGAAATTAGGTACTGCCGTAATACTCACAGTGGGGCAGGTGGTGATCGTAACGGTTGGAAGGTCGGGTCAAAACTCGTCAGGTTCATGCTTTTTGAATTTCTGGCCAGTTGACCAGCCCAGTTTTTTCGGCGTAGCAGATCAAAAGATGTACGGTCATTCATTAGGCTAAAGTACAGGCTGCGAGTACATACTATTTTCAACCTATGAGTGCCAAGCCGGTTTTCGCAATAAACTCCCGAAAGGGCAACACTTTGACTGCGGTGAAGAAACGATCACCCACTGAATAGTTGGTGATTTTTAGTACGAATAGGCTGAGGCGATCAGAAAAACGTAACCGCCAGTAGGCGTAGAAGTTCTGCAACCTATATGATGATTTTTGGGGAACCGAGAACAGAGTTCACCAGCCCTAAGCTTAGCACAGTGTGACG